AGTCTACTAAAATGGCCATAACCAAATATCCCAAATTAAGTGACTTAAACAACAGAAATTCACTCTCTCACAGTTTTGGAGGCTGGGAGCCTGAAATCAGTGTTGTTGACAGGGCTAGTTTCTTCCGAGGGCTGTGAAGAAGAGTGTTATACACATCTTCCTTACCTTCTGGGGATTGATTGGCAATCTTCAGCCTTTTTTTGGGTATAGAATCATCATCATGACCTCTGCTTTCTCTTCACCTGGTGTTATCCCTGTGTGATGCTATCTTCAAAATGTCCCCTTATGTAAGGGCACCAGTCATACTATTAGGTTCCACCCTCGCAATCTCATTTTAGCTTGATAAAGATACTATCTCCAGATAAGGTCACAATCTGGGGTACTAAAGGTTAGGACTTCCATATATGAATTCAGAGTGGTGGAGAAAAGGGAACACAATTCAACCCATCACAGTCACTTTTAGGTTTTACAGTGATCAGATCTAACCCTTAAACCTTAATAAACTGGTTGTATAATAGCATATATTGTATAAGCTATTAAAAAGTATAGCTGTTAAAAAGTAGCTTCTGTCCTATTCCAGAACAAGATGGAATAGACTAATATTTCCCTGAATCTGCCCTCTAAATACAAGCAATTAAATTCTCCATAAATTACATAACATAGAATGATAGTACGAATCTAAATGCTGTAAAGAAGGTAAACTGGCTATGGACCTCTCAGGACTTAGGAAATAGCAATATGGCTCTTTAGGTTTTCTTTATCTGCTGTACACCCAGGACTTCTGAGAAATATGCTGACAACCCAAATTTACCAAATAAATACAAAGAAAAACAAGAAGAATCTATTCTCACTGTATCATAGTATTAGAAAAGTAGAATTCCAACACTTGTTATATTGGGGTCCTAGTATTTGGCTTAAACTGTAGATAACAGTTAAGCCTCGGACTATCCTAAGTCCATTCCATACCTGGAAGCATTGGTAAAATTTGGAGAACGGTTTGACCCAGCAGCAGCTATAGCAGCAAAGCCGTGGCTAATCCTGCCCCATTCAAAAACTAGGGCAGTTGTAGGTGAGTTTATCTGTATGTAGTAGCACCACAAACCCTGGTGTCTTCCTGCTTCCCTGCCCAGTGATAACAAGACCAGCCTAGTGACAAATGCCCCTAATTATCAGGAAGTCTACCAATAATAGAAGGTGGCACAGGAAAGCAACTTCCATCCTTACAAAATAGCAACAGCAGGGATTATATAGGAGCACCATAGTACCAGAAGAGCGTATCATTGCAAGCATTCAGAAAATCAAGCTGTCATTAGAACTACAACCCACAAAACTAGTCTAGAACCTAAATGCTAAATCTAAACTAACTGGTAAATTATAAGTAATAAATGGTATCAAGAACTTTATAATAACCAAAATACTTAAAACATAGTAAAAAGTTACTTATCATGCCAAGAATTAGGAAATAATAGCTTGAGAAAAATCATTGAGTTGATGTCAGTACCAAGATGAATCAAATACTTGATTTTATCAGACAAGAATTTAAAAAATGCTTTGAACAGATGCATCAACAAACAATTTAAATTCTCTTGAATAAAACAAAAATTCTCTCGAATAAATGATAAAAAGGGAAAATCTCAGTGAAGAAATAAAGGAAACCAGTGACATTAAATAATTAAAAAATAAAATAACCAAAATTTGAAATTCATAGAATAGATTCAGTAGTAGACTTGAGACACAGAAAATAAAATCAGTGACCTTTAAGACTGATCAGTTAAGTTTACTCAGTCTGAACAAGAGAAAGAAAAAAGACTGAAGAAAATGATGAGACTGTTAAGGATCTAAAGGATACATAACACCAAGATTTAACTTTAGTATTATCAGAGCCTAAAGGTCAAGAGATTGTGCAACTGGAAAAAGTATTTAAAGAAATAATGTTTGAAAACTTTACACATTTGGTAAGAGACATAAGTCTCCAGATTCAAGAAACTGAGCAACTCCCCAAACTAGGGTAAACTGAAACAAATCCTCATCAAGAAATATTATTAATTTCTAAGTAAAACAATCCTCAAATAGAGAAAATGATGCATCACCTACAAAGAGACAATAATTTGAATGACAGATTTATCATTGAAATAATGAAGTTTAAAAGGATGCTGCAAAATATTTCATAACTGCCAAAAGAAGGATTCAGTCAGTCCTGGCTCTCATACTGAAGAAACTGTCTTTCAAGAATGAACAAGAAATCAACACATTCTTAAGTGGAGAAAACTAAAAGAAACCTTGGTAATAGAGAAATTACCAAGAGAAGCTACATTATATACAGAGAGCTACGTTACATACTACTAGAAGTATCCAGTAAGAAGTTATTGTAATCCAAAATGGGTATGTACTAAACAACTAAGATTCAAACTTTATGAATAAAAACCAGTAGAGCCAAAACAAGAAGTGAGCCAATCAGCAATTGTACTCAGAGATTTCAAAAGCCCTCTGTTAGCAATTGATAGAATTGCCAAAGAAAACACTAGCCTTACAGAACATACTACCCAACAATAACAGGATATGCATTTTTTTCAAGTATCCATTCAGCAGATACCCATAAGCTGGAACATAAAACAAATGCTTATAAATAAAAAATAAAGTTATACAATGTATAATTGTTTAAACATAGTGGAGTGAAAGTTGAACTCAATAGTAGATAAGAAAATCTGCTGAAAAACAGTACACCTCTACAAGAGCATCAAAGAGGAGATCTAAAAGTAAACTTAAAAATACATAGAAATGGGCCCTTCCTGGTGGCGCAGCGTGTTAAAGCACAGCACTGAGAAGCTAAAGGCACTTCCGCATGAGTTTGATCCCCGCCTGCCCTAGAGGTGACCACATGGCGCGGCAGACCTCTCCTGGCCTGCCTGCTGCTCCCCTCAGTAGTGTACTTAGTCGATCTGCCTGTTCTATACCCCACTCTGTCTCTGGTGAAGCCTCTCACTGCCCTTGAGCCTCTGGCCTGTACCCCAGTTCTGTATGAACAAATAAATAAATCTTTAAAAAAAAATACATAGAAATGAGTGAAGATAAATTCACTACATATTAGGTTGTGGGATGCAATGAAAGCACTGCTTTGAGGGCAGTTTATGGCTCTAAATGCTTACATCAAAAAATAAAGCAGTAGGCCCTCTCTGGAGGTACACCCAGCACAACACCGTGAAACTATCCCCAGGAAATGCATCCTGTTTCAATAGTCGAAAGTCATTGTGATCTACTTTATCAGCTCTCAGTATACTAGAAATAAAGGGGGGGAAAAATAGAGGGGAACATTCTCAACCTCATAATCTTAAAGCAAACAAACAAAAAACTTACATCTAACTTAATAATTTCAGAAAGAGGACTGTTTTCCTTCTATAATTGGGGAAAAAATAAGAATGTTTGCTCTCACTGTTAATAATCAACATTTTATTGGATGTTCTAGTTACTGCAATCGATATTAATAAAAGATTTGCAGATTTGAAAGATGGTATAAAACTATTGCTACATCCATTTAATACTAGTGATGAGCTAAAGAAGAAAAAGTCAGAAAAATAATGCAGTTTATAAAAACCCAGTAGCAAGTGCTGTAACAAATACTCTTATTTTTATGTGTGAGTTATAAAATACCATGTGGTTGGAATATTATGAATTATCAGTTAAGAACAATGTTTTTACATCCAATTTATATTGTGAAATGTAATCCATAATTGTCTGTTTGGGTGTGATCATCATGCTAGCAGTAATACTTAGTCCTGAAACTTGCTTTTTAGTCAACCTGCTTCTCTGCAATACAATCAAATACATCATTTTGTTCTACCTCTATAGCTTTTACTGACTCCTGTTGTTTTCAAGCACAACATATTGTTAAGATTTTGCTACTAATAAAAATGTTTTTATGGATATTGAATGAGAAACAAGCTGCAAAATAGTGATATTAATATACTAATATTAGGTGAAAAAATAAAACTGGCTATGATAAAACCCGCAAAATAGTCATGTATGTATACATATGCATAGGAGGAAATTTAGAAGGGGATATACTTTAAACCTCAAATTTCTCATATGGTAAAATTATGACTTTTTTTACATTTTCTCCATTTTATAAATTTTCTGCAATGGATATCATTTATTTTTATGAGAACAGATACATAAAGTAAGTGGATTCAGTCAAAACTAATTTCCAGTGGAAATGTTAATTCCTAAGTTTGCTCATAAAGGTCCATTTGATTGTCATCTATAAAATCATTGGTAACCTGAGGAAATTTTCAGGAATAGTGGACTCAGAACCCAGAAGCAGCAGATTAAAAAATAAAAGGGAAGCACAAAAATGATTGTAGTGAATATGAAAAGTACTCTTTCAACAAACTGATAAAACCACATTAGAGAGGGCAGTAGGACTGAGGATGTTTTTAAGTTGGGGAACATGAAGTATGCTTTTCTCATGAAGGAAGAAAAAATATAATTTGACAATCTGATATTTTTATTGAAGGATTTAATAATTTCTATTAAGATAATTCTATGTTTATGATAGACTTAAAAATGAGTCTGTTTGTGATTGGGTATGATCATTTGCAGTATAGGAACAAGAATTACCTTTTTGCAAAGTGTCAACTCAATTTATATTGTGTGTGTTTATTTAGTATGTTATCCTGCATGTAGAAATGGATCGGCCCTTTGTAAAGGAAAAATTTTGATTGGGGGTTTGTCAAACTCCAAAGCAATTTTAAAAACCTGTTTACTTAAATGACTAATAAAAATCATAGCTGCTCTCTTTTTTGAATACTTACACTTGAGGTTTACTTGCTTTCTTCTGTTCTTAATGTGTTGGTTAAATTGACAAGCCAGAGTTTGTTAGTAGCTGATCAGCTAGAAATAATGAGTATTTGCCACAAGAAGTAAAGTGGCATCTGGATATTCCTAGGTAAGATGCTGATGTAGCCTTAGTCATTCTTTAAACTTAGTACTTAAATGATAAACAGGGAATCCTGCAAAACCTGGCAGCTATGTATGGAGGCAGGCCCAGCTCTTCAAGAGGAGGGAAGCCAAGAAACAAAGAGGAAGAGGTATGCTTCCCGCATGTTCGCTACCTCGTCACAGCCATTTTTGAGTTTATTGCCTTCTTTTCTTGCATGGTTAAAATTCTTAACAATTATTTGAGGATTTTGTAGGTCTATAGGGGCCTATTAATATATTTTGGCTGACATACTATGCTATAATTTTGTCCCATAACTGTTATTCAGTATTCTGAGTTCACTTTCTTTTCTTTTGATAAAATTAAAATTGTAATTTTAATGTATTTTTTTTTCAGAAGTAAGTCGATCTAAATTAAACACTTGAAAGCTAATATTACATTTTCATTAACCAGATTCAAAGCTTTTATTTCTTGTATTTGGATTAACACTTCTTTAATTTAAAAAATTTTAGCAGTAAAAATCTTGATAGTTTTTCTTTTAAATAAAATATTGTGTTTTTCTCTTTGTAGGTTTATTTGGCAAGGCTGCGGCAAATAAGACTTCAAAATTTCAATGAACGTCAACAGATTAGAGCCAAACTTCGTGGCGAAAAGGCAGGTTGAAAAGTAATTTTTTTAATGGAATTTAGCAGCACTTAATAGATTTTTTTATAATAAAGATAATTTTTTTTAAATATTGATTTATTTATGCATACAGAACTGGGGTACAGGCCAGAGGTGCAGAGGCAGTTAGAGGATTCACCAGAGACAGAGTGGGGAGTAGAACAGGCAGACTGATGAGGTATGCTGTTGAGGGGAGCAACAGGCAGGTCAGGAGAGGTCTGCCACACCATGTGGGTCACCTCCCGGGCAGACATTGTATTCATGCTAAGTGACTTTAGCTTCTTAGTGCTGTGTTTTAACCCACTGTGCTACCAGGGAGGACCTAATAAATATAATTTTTAAAGGATTAATAGAACTGTACCATTAACAAAAGATGAAAATGGATATAGTAAAAGTCAAAGACTGGGAAAACTTTTAATTAGGGTTAATTAAATCATACATACTATATATATATTTTATATATATATATATATATATATATATATAGTAAATTACATATAGAGATATGGAGATTTAAAATTGGTTAGCCATTTGTTCCATAGGAATTCTGAAAGGATAATCTAAGTCTTACCTGTGAACATAAAAAGTGACATTTTATGTTACTCTCTTTTATCTTTTTATCCATCGTCCAAGAGTTGATAGTTGTGAAAGTTTGTTCTAATGAGAAAATTAGCAGTGTTGAACGACTTCCCATTTTATATTTTTAGATGTTAGTATGCTCAATGCCACTTTCCACAGAACTCGGTGCAGAATTTGAACTTTTATCTTAAATGGTTTTTCTCCTTATTTTGTAGAAAGGAGCTGATAGTTTCAGAGGACAAGAAGGAAGTGAGGAAGCTGATGTGAGGCGTAAAAAAATTGAAGCATTGAAGGTATAGACTAGAAATGACATTAGAAGTGTTTTCAAAGAGGAAATTGAAACCTCAGTGATAGTTACATTCTTAAGTCTTGCATTGTTTAGCTTGCCTTCATTTTTCTTTCCCTATTATCTTTTACTTTTTCATTTCTGAAAAACAGCATTTTTCTATTATATATTTTTATGGAGAGAAATATGATGAAAGACTGGCATAAATACATGAAACTCTCACACAAATAACCTTAAAAAGAAAGAATGAACACCTTAAAAATGAAAAAATATGATTGCCCATTTCTGTGAAGATAAATGAAGTTTATGTATAGTAATTATAGGTAAACTTTTTACATTTATATTTTCATTAGACTGTGTTTATTTTCATTAAACACATACTCACTGAGCAGTGCTGTTTGTTATCCCTGGTTTAAGTGCTAGTTAGTGAAGGTACTTTTCTATTCTGAAAATAGTGAAGGTACTATTTTATTCTGAAAATACACACACATACCCACACTTTTTTGGTTACTGAGTAAATATCTTCACAGACTTAAAAAAAACCTTTCTGATAACTAACTTGTTTTTTTTTATTTTCAGGCTCAAGCAAATGCACGTGCTGCTGTACTAAAAGAGCAGTTAGAGCGAAAAAGGAAGGAAGCATATGAGCGAGAAAAGAAAATATGGGAAGAGCATGTAAGTTTTAGCTTATATTCTTGTGTTAATATTCTTTATCTCTTGACTGGTAAAATCAGCATTATAATTTCATACTACTTTTTTTCTCATTCTTCCTTGCTCTTCTCTTTCCTGCTGTCCTTATCTTTGGCACTCTGTCTCTTATAATCAAGGATGACCAATATGGATGTTATTTTGGGGTTTGATTTGAAATGAAAACCTAATTTATTTATTTTTTTATTGTTACCAAGAGCTGATCAAAGTTCCTGCGTCATTTAATTACAACAGTTCCTTCCTCCATTGATTTATACTGCTACCTCTAAAATCAATTAAATTCTCATGTATACTAGGGAATGAATCTATAATATATATACATCTGTACTTTTTTCCTTGGGACTCTAGCTTCTGCTGATATTCTTTTTGTCAGTTCTAGTAGTACCTCACTATGAGTATAGAATATATTTTAATTTCTGATAGAATTCTTCCCTCATTTTTCCTTTACACCTTTTTACATTTGTTCTCCTCAATTATTTGCTCTCTTTCTATCTTCTTTCCCCCTTGCCCTCTGGTAGCTTCTGTTCTACAGCCATATTTTTAGGGTTTGCTATTAGTTTGACTTTGTCTGAACCTTTGTGTTGTTTCTCTTTATTCCACATGTAAGTGAAACCTTCTGGCATTTGTCTGTCTTCTCTGCCTATTTCACATGACATCATCCCCTCTGGTTCTATTCATGTTACAGATGACTATAGTCCATCTTTTTTATAACTGAGCAGTATTCCATTGTGTATATAGATGCCGCATTTTCCCTGTTATTGGTTTTGCTGAAAATTTATTTAGAATTTTTTAAATTTGTATTTATATTAATAAAATACCATTATTTTACATAATAGTGTTTATTTTTTCATGATATAAGATTTTTTCCTTCAAGTGTAGTCACCAGAGTTCTCCCACCAGCAAAGCATCCATAATCCTCTACATAATCCTTTGTGCTCTCCCCCATCTTGTTTTCTTTCTCTCTGTACTGCTTCCTTCCATATGCCTCAGATCTGTGGTCAACTTTCAAAGGTTTGTTTTAAAGTTTGTTTAACATTTTGTTTGGTTTCTGTACTCTATATATAACTGAAATCATCCGTTTTCCATATTTTTCAATTCATTTATCCTTGGGCACTTACTTGGTTTCCATAACTTAGCTATTGTCAGTAGTGCTACAGTGAATCCTTCCTTAGGTGAGGCAGGGAATCTGGAACCTTCTCTTTTATGGAGATTACATTGTTACAGAACCACAAGAAAGAAGTTAAACAGGTCCCAGAAAGCTGGGACAGATTAAAGAGCCAAAATTCAAAATATAACCTATAATGCACAATGAGGTAAAGGTAATGATGGTCATTTTGTCTGCCAAAGACCAGGAGTTGCCTCCCATGTGTCTCTCCAGTTGTGTCTCCTCAGGTATCTCTTTCTTTCCTCTATGTCTTCTCCAATTAATCTCCTCTAAGTCACCTTACAGCAATACCATTTCCCTTTTTATATCACCTTGCTCTTTCTTAGCTGACCCCCATTTGGGAAGTCCAGTTTTTGTCATGCTAGGACTTGTAGTCCTCAGTGCCTGAGAAATCTCCAGGATGGAGATAGGAGTAGAGTCTGTAAAAACTTTTAAGTGGTGCAGTATTCCTCTAACAGCGTGAGTATGAAATAACTCATAATGCATCTCATCTTGCCTACAACTGTCTAGTCGATGAGACAGAATTCTACTTGGCTTTGGATTATTATGCTGCTTAAGTACAGTGTTTCTTATTTCCCTCTTTTCTTTCTTTGAAACATAGCATGAATTGGTATGAATCTGAAATAATTGCTGGGATAACTATAGCCTTTTTCCCAGAGAAAATTATAGCAACCAAATTTGTCAGAAATAGAAATAATTCATCATTAGCATCAGAATCAATTTCTTCTGTTACCCAAATCCTTTTCAAGCTTAACCCTGATCTGAAAAGTAATATGAGCCTATTTAGTACTGCATGTATGGGTAGTAGTTAGGGTCACTCAGCTTTTGTTATCTTGAGTTTATATACTCAGCATAAGAAACAGAAACATTTTGTTGCTGATTTGCATGGTGGGGCAGATTCTATCAAATAATCAATGTGAAACTCACTGTGTGTTCTATTTTAATCTGCTTTCCTAATGGTTAGTCTGCTGATGTTATCTTTATGTTCAGCTACAGTCTTGCTGTTGTAAGCTTTAAGGGCCTTTGCCCCTCATAGTTTTCATTTTGTCTTTAATAGCTCATACCAGCAATCTGCTTAGCACCTGCAGGTGATTACATTAGTAATACACGTATTAAATATGATTAACTTATGCTTGCTGCAAATCAGCCTTATTTTTAGAATATGACCAGCTATTCAGATTGCATGGGGGAGAAATCAAGTGTTTGATAATAGTCTGTGTAATTGATTATGTGAAGCTAATAGCAGAGCTATTCCATCTCTGCTACCTTCAGTATACACACACAGACTCTGTTGTGCCAACAGGCCTGCTGCTGTCCACTCCTTCACTTTGCCACCTATCCCTTCCCAAGGTAGAGTGGGTATGTCCTAGCTCATATTGTGAGTGACGTGTAGGATATTGGACTGGCATATTTGTCTGTGAAGCATGTTTCCTTTTCTTCTATTCATGAAGAAATGTTGTGATTGAGAATGTTGTGCTTCCAACAACTCAAGTTAATATATTTCAGAGAACACAAAGCATGAGTTTTATAATTACGTTTCTTTGCAAAAATCTGCTGTTGATCTGGAAACATGGCCCACAAACAACCATATAAATTTGATCTTAAATACTTCATGTATAATCATTTAAATATAAAGTGCTGTCCTCCAAAGAGGGTTCTGTTATGTCTTGTTTCTCAAGTCCTGCCCTATCAACAATATCATAATCACTGTCCAGGAGTAGATATAAGCATGTACTTGATCATTCAGTAACTGTGTATGTAATCTGTTGAGTCGGCTTTCTTATTTATTCTTTTGCCACCTTATTCTCATTAGTGCTTGATGCTTACACTGGATTGTATTCCATTTGTGCTCGACATCCCTGAATTGCAGTCCTACACTTGTAAGTGGAGCTGTGTAACCTACTTTTTTATCATTAAACTGTCATATCATGGGACCCTTTTCCTTGCAGTAAATCAGGAAGCATCAATGGAAGTTTGTTCTTTGATTAGAGACTGTATATTGAACGTGATCAGTTCCTCCTTTATTGGATTTAGATCTTTATTCTGTCTTTCATTTCCACCTTTGTTCCAGTCTTTGAGAGCTACCAAGTTATTGTAAAACTTACAGTGAACTCATTCCTGATCCCTGGCTTCTCAGAATGTTCTTATCCATAGTGTTGCCATCTAATCTTATGCATTCAATTATACACATCATGAGACCAGTCTGGAATAATGCTCCCTGTGCCAAGTATCGCTGGACATTAATGGAGTTCTAGAGTAAGATCTCTGCATGGTATGTTTATTTGACATAAAGAACACCAAAGAATTCCACTTATGCAGAGGGTCTTTTATTTCATAGTCACTATGTGATGACTACCGTAGCATGAAGCTAACTTTCTCTAAGCAACAGGACTGGAAGTTTCAGCTAGTAGTAGTGGTGGGAATGAAGAGAATGGAGGGAGAGAAGAACATGAGAAGCACCTCTGGATGCATTGTTTTTTTATTTCAGCAAATAATTTTTACAAATTATGTCTAACAATAGTTCAGCTTAGAGCAAGTGGTCTACATTTTTATATAATATTTTTATTATGGGCAGTTACGTGTTTGCATAGTAGTATATTTCTGCTTCCTTATATAACTAATTAGAACCAACCTCTCTAAGAGGCTCTAATCACTGTCATTACATCCATCCAACTCACCTCAAGGATTTACATATTTTTATGATACAGTCCCAGAAAAATTCCTTAAGAGTCTTGCTTTCTTAGCTCATATTAAAAGACATATTTAAAAAAAAAAAAAAACGGAACAGGCGAGAAAATAATGATAATGATGAACAGCTATATACCAGAGACATTTTGTGGGGGTGGAGTAGGGAATGGGGAATGGGATCAAAAACAGTTGGGGGGAGGGGGAGGAAAATGCACTGGACGTTGGTGATGGGAAACCCAAGGGGATTGCAACTGAGATGGAAAAATACACCAAAATATATAAAACTAAACTATTAAAAAAATAAAATAAAAGACATATAAAAAAGGGGGAAATTGTTTTATATATATTTTTCTCCCTTTTAATAGTATTTCTTAAGTAGTTATAAAGTGCATGCAAATGACAGATTTCATGCCTATATTATTGATGGATAAAAGCAATACTTTGTATTTCCTTATGTTCGTTCAGAAGATTTTTTATGTTGGCATCATTGACCTGAGGTAGTGAGTCTGGCTTTTTAGGTCCAACAGGCAAACAACACATTTTCCTTTGAGAATTATTTTATTGTGTGTGCTTTTGGTAAGACTGTCAAATAAGATGTCTGGCTTCTTTCAACTGAAGGTTAGGTAGTTCATCTAAAATAGACCTGTTTGAATTCTCTCCCAGGACTTCACATTTGTGCAGAATAGCACACGATTTGAAGTTGTAGTTTATTTAATCCTTTTAGATTACCTGATGAAACCATAAATTAGGTCCAGAGAGCTGCCCTGGTTCCTGTACTTTTGGAGGGCATCCCTTTAGTTTTATAACCCTACTGATAATCCTTTTCTTTCCTCTCTTCTCCTCTCCCCACCTGCCCCTTTCTTCTCTCCCTCCTCCATGAAAAGGTACATAGCTTTCACGTTATCTTTAAATTGCTGTATATTTAAAATATGAAATCAATATAATTATATTTTCTTAATGTACATTAAATCATTATTAATCATTCAGAATATAGAGATGAAATAGTACTTGTATTTACCTTGTAGGTAAATTGATAATTATTTTTTGCACACTTGGCTTCACTACTTGGTGCACTTTTGAGTTTCATCATTTGGTGGCACTGTTCCCTAATTTTTCAAGAGTAAGATTGAAAAAATAAAAAGAAGCTGTTTTAAAGTGATAATTAAAAACCTTTTGTGGAAATAGAAGCATTATGGAAAAGTCTTGAATTTGTGAACTTGGTGAGAAAATGGCTGTACTAAAAAGTCACTAAAGTAATTTTTCAAGCTCCTTTATGAAACTTTAAGGTTAGAGGTGTATTAGTATCACAAATTTATTTTAAAATGATTAAATTTAAAGTCTTTGCTTAAAAATATATATATATACTAGACTTTGGGTCATCAGTTTTGTAATAAATTGTGTTTTTTATTTGTTTTAGGATCTTATTTTTTTGTCTTCTGTGAAATTTTTGCTTGGTTAATTTTTGCATTTGTCATATTGAATCAACTTTCTAAATTAAAGACGTAGTCTAATTTTTTCTTTTTATAGTCCAAGAGTACATTGTTGTCTCAAGATCTAATTAACATTGATTAGCCTTAATAATCTGGCTATAAATAATATATACATGATATTTACACAGAATGCCCAAGCTCTGCTATACTAATAAGTTTGTAATGTGTACTAGCTTGAAACAATATTGCCACATCTCAGTAGTTACCCTGAATTACTTTTAATTTTTTAATAACTGACTTTGTTATCAAGTTACTGTAAAAGTTAATAGAAAGGTTTGTCTGTCTTTATTCTTTGGCTTAGATTTCATGTATCTGACATTTGTGTGTGTGTGTGTAGAAGAACTGGGGTGGAGGCCAGAGTGGTGTGGAGTGAGTGGATTCACTGGAGACAGAGTGGGAAGAATAGGCAGATCTACTGAAATACACTCCTGAGGAACAGAGGTTAAGACAGGAGAGCTCTGCTGAGTCATATGTGGGTCACCTCCCTGGCTGGGGATCAAATTCTGGCCATACTGGTGATAGCACTGAGACTTAACTCCTGGACACCAGCAAGACCCCTAAAATTCTTTGCATGTGCATTATTTCAACTTCTTCTGATCTGTTAATTTAGTTCAGCCAGAGGAAAGAGGAACATACACTAGTGTGTTTCCTAGTAGCATATGATATACACAACTTTTTTTATATTTATCTGCCATCTTTTTTGATGAGCTATGTATTCACATATTTTGGGTCATCTTTTTATTTTTTTAATAGGATTGTCTTATTATTGAATGTTCAGAGTTCTCTGAGTTTTGGCTAACAGGTCATGATAGCTCATGCAGATATTTTGTCCTGTTTTGTGTCTTGTGTTCTTTTACCCTTGACAGTGTCTTTCACAGAGCAATATTTTTGAATTTTAATGAAACCCAGGTGGTGGATGCACTACATTAGTGGCAATAAGTACCTCACTGGGGTCTCCTAAATACTGCCTAAATTAAAAATAAATTAATTTTAAGGAAGAACAAAGTTTTCTCCATTGAATTTCCTTTGAATGAGTTCCAGTGCATTTCTCTATTGTTAAAGATCAGTTTATTACGTTTACATGCATCTGTTTTTGTGCTCTGTGTTCTGCCCCACTGATCTCTTTTTTTTCTGTCACCTGTACAATATGTTTTGTTTATTGTAGGTTTATAAGTCTTGAGGTCAGGTAGTATGGTTCCTCCAGGCTTTCTCCTACAATACTATTTTGGCTATTTTTATCTTCTATTGAACAAAATAGATTGAAGTAAAGTAAAAGTTCAGAAAATAGGAATATTAGCATTATATTGCTACCTTATTTTCATAAGGTATTCATATTTCTATACATTTTGTCATCTTCATGCAGATGTAAATTTCCCAATGTGTTTAAATTCTTTATTATAGTTGGTGGCTAAAGGAATCAAAGGTTCTGATGTTCCTCCGTCTGTAGGGCAGAACGATGCAAGCTGCTCTCCATCAAAGCAACCGACGAAATGTTTCATTTCTGTTACTTCAGCGTTGAAAGAAATGGGTATGGTAAGTTTCCTAAAATTTAGAACTGCTCAAAGTCAAAAGATTAATGAAAGTATTAAATTTAATGAAATTGTATTACTTCCTAATCCTCTATTAAGTTTCCTAAGGAAAAAATATTTGCTTCTTAAGATTTGTAATTTTGTGTGGTTTACTCTGAATATTAGATCCTCGCTGCTCATAGGTTTTATATCTAGGATAACCTGGTAGATTAAAGTATACTACAGTGATTCTCTTTTTTACTTTAAAATAATAATGAGCAAATAAAATATATTTAGAAATGTGCCCCAAATAAAGCAAAAAACACTTTTAAGGCCCAGCTCTCACAGTTAACAAAGACTCAATTTTTATCATCTAACTTTGATTTTTAATGTCATTAATTCTAGAAATAAAGTCTAACTCATATTTACATTTATCGGCCATAACACTGAGACTTAAACCTTTGGCCACCAGGGAAGCCCCATATTTACATTCATTTGAAATTTTGTAGCATTGCAAATTATAGAGGATTCAGTGTAAACATGCTTAATTCAACTACATTTATTTTTTCTTAAACCTTCTACTTTTGAGTCTCTGTCATGCCATACATATAGTAAAAGAGTGGACTAATAAAAAGTTTAATCTTGGAAAATTATCAGTCCATCCAAATGTGGAAACCCAACTCTGGGGTTAAGGGAAATGAGCTCACAATGTGTAATAACAGCCTGCAATTCAAGAGATTGAAAGAAAAAGTACTGGATCATGTTATATAACAGATTAATCTGATTCTCTCCTTTCCTAGTAATTAATGTCTGGTGTCTTTTATTTGTTAATGTCTGGTGTCTTTTATTTGTTAAGTTTGCTAAGTCTTTGCAAACAACACTAGTGTTTCTAGAATATTAGTCTTTTTTTCTTGGAAATAAAACTGAATAGGAAAATACAGTTTTCTTGGTCATCCTCAAGAGCTTCATGTAAGAAATTGTTGTTCTTCAAGTAGCTTTGACATCTTTTTCTTTCTCATAAAGACTTTGCATGTGCTACATTGTTCACTTCAGCTGTAGATACTACTGTGTGATCCCCTTCCTGGTACCCAGTCTCACATCTCAGGTAGCTGTTCATCTCTCTGGTTATAGCGACTGCTAATTCCTGACTACTTTACTGGGTAAAATGCTCTTTGTCTCATTTACATGTATTTAAAACTGACCAGTACATTCTTTTCTATTTTCCCAAATACTGCAAAATTTGAGGTAATCCATACAACAAGAGGGTTTTTCTTGGTAAATGTAACTGACTTAAATTTTTGAAAATTTTCTTCCTTACTCTAAGACCTTTGCTTTCATAACTACTAATGTCTTCTTTTCACGTATTTAAATACTAGGTGGTCTGGAATGCTGTACTAATCAAAAGACAAAATTTGCATTATCACCAGTATAAGGGTCTCAGAACTTAATATTATTTTTTACTTTCTTTTCAGAGGGAAAAAAACCAATTCTCAATTATATTTAGTTATATTGTGTAATTAGAATATGTGTTTATGAAACATAAAGACAGCATCAGAATAACACAGCCTATCTTACTTTATCCATCAAGACTTTCTCTCTAAGAGAAATTATGAATTAATTTTCTTTTTATTTCTAGTACTGACAAAATTACCAAAAATCAGGTGCTAAAGAGAATATAGCTAAATATAAAATCAGTGATCTCAGAATATGACAAGTAATTGAGAATTGACCTTTCTAGTGTCTAGTAAACCTGTTGTGGTACTATTTATTTCTTATTGCTGACATAACGAAGGAAATTATGCAAATGTTTTACAGGAATAAAAAATGCACAAAGAGCAATTTAATGAAAAAAGTAAAAAAATAAGATAGACATTTGAAATATTTTTTTACTCAGTAACTTTTTACTCTGTAACTATTTTTATTTAAAGGACAGAAGTTTAACTGATACCCAGGAAACTTCAGAAGAAATGCAGAAGACTAATGATGCTATTTCAGTAGGTACAATTTTCAAATTTTCTCTGCTAAGCAATTTTACTTCATCATAGACTATTAAAACATAACTTTTAAATCTTTCAGAGTAAGAGAGAAATACTACGTAGATTAAATCAAAACCTTAAAGCTCAAGAAGATGAAAAAGGAAAGCATTATGACTCTGATATTTGTGATACTATTCATGAAGGTGCCAAAGAGCATGAAAAAGAAAAGTCAGTTTCCTCTGATCGAAAGAAATGGAAGGCTGGAGGTCAACTTGTGATTCCTCTAGATGAGTTAACATTGGACACATCCTTCTGTGAAAGTGAAAGTAAGTGTAAAAGCATTAACATTCCCTTTGGGCCTAGTACACATGCAAACTTGGAGATGACATTGAAAGAAAAAGCACTTACAAGGATTGAGAAACTGGAAGAATTCTATATATGTGAAAAATGGAGAAAACTGTTTAACCTTAACAATAGTCAGGATTTTTATTACAAAAATGTGTAGCATGAGAGAGGGAACTAATGCTATATATATTTCACTCATATTACTCTAACTCTTTCTACTATATTAGATTAACCTGTTACTAGGAATAAATAATTCTGGATGAGAACCAGAGTAGTAAACTAAAAAACAATCTCAGCATTATCCCTTAGGCTTTTAGCAAAGGTAGTGAGAAAGATCTGACTTAATACTTTTTTTTATTCACCCCATAAATATTAAGCACTCACTCTTTTTTTGTAATATCCTGACCACTGGATATACAGCAGTGATGAACAGAAGTGTGCTGTTGTGGAGCTTACGTTGTAAAAGGACATGTCTAACTATCAACTAACTAAATGCAGTTTTAACTAAATTTTTAATGGACTGCTTTTGAAGAATTCTTTCTCACATTGGAAGAAAGCTCAAAGCTCAATACATTTATTTTATGTATCCAGCAGTTCTTTATTGAATCCCATAATATGCCCCATACTCCTAAGTAATAAGGATATAAAAGTGATTAAGAAATAGTCCCTCATCTTTAGGAGTTTAGGGCTTAGTGGAAAGGGAGGGAAGTAAAGAGGCAGTTATAATTGATAAGTAATATTTTGGGAGCAATCATAAACTAAGATAAGGATTTGTATCAGACCATAAATCAGTCTTGGGAGAGCCACAGAAATTATTTCTGGAAAAAAAGGCTGTGTTAAGGGGCAAAAAGTAGTTAGGTAAACCTAAAGCCAAAGAATATGTTTGGATTGATGGCCAGAACCCAGAAATGAGAAAACATACAAAGTTCAGGGAACTGGTTATAATTCAACATATGTATAATGTTCAGAATAATAAGTAAAAAGCCTTGGAAGAATTAAGCAGATTATGAAGGATCCTATACATTTGCCTCATCGCTTATTTCTTTCACCTTCTGTTCATTTTTGTACAATGCATGTTTGTATGCTTTCTCCTTTCAGATGTATTTCCTGTAAAATTCCCACCACCAATTCACCAGTAGTCCCTTGTTCCTGTCTAGTTTTGATTCCCCTCTCTTCCCATCCCTTGCAGAATGTCTGATTCCTAGCTGCCTGCTGGGTTTGTTTTATTAGTAGTAGTAGTATGTTTTTTCCTGATTCCTATTTTGTTTTCCTATATTCTTCCTACAAGTGAAATCACCTAATATTTTTTCTTCTGGCTTATTTTATTGAGCATAATCCCTCCTAGCTTCATCCATGTTGCTGTGAATGGCATGACTTTATCTTTTTGATGGTTGAATAGTATCCCATTGTATATATATACACCACACCTTCTTGATCCAGTAATCTGTTTTGGGGCATTTAGGTTGTTTCCGTATCTTACCCGTTGTCAATAATGCTGCAATAAACATAGGGTTGTAGGTATTCTTTTGAATTAATGATTTTGTATCCTTTGGGTAGATTCCTAGGAGTGGAATTGCTGGGTCATATGGAAGCTCCATTTTTAGTAGTTTGAGGAACCTACACACAGTTTTCCATAGTGGTTGGCCTAGTTTGCATTCCCACCAACAGTGTAGGAGAATTTCTTTTTCTTTACATCCTCACCAACATTTGTTCTTTTGCTATTTTTTAACATGTGCCATTCTCACTGGTGGAAGGTAGTATCTCATTGTGGTTTTGATTTGTGTTTCCCTGATTATAAATGAAATTGAATATTTTTTCATATACCTGTGGGCCATTTGCACTTCCTCTTTGGAGAAGTGTCTTTTTAGCTCTTCTATCATTTTGTGACTGGATTGTTTACTTTGTTTTTGTTGAGTTGTATGAACTCTTTGTAGATCTTTATAATTCACAAGTAGTTTAAAAGACAATTGTAGATTTTTTTTTCTACTGTTCTTGGTTTCTTCTTTTCTTTTGTCTTTTATCATTCATTCCCTAGAAGTCTTTTTTTATTTTAAACAGTGTCATGGTCATATGCTCTTTGAAATGTAACACTTTTTCCTTTGTGCAGGATTCAGTTGGGTTGAAGTCTTTAAATATACTTTATAGTGCCGTGTTATTTTTATGCTCTATTATTAAAAATCATTTTTTGTATCTCTTTCTGATAGATCATACAGTGGGAGAGGTTATTAAATTAGATCCTGGTGGATCTCCAAGAAGAGTTTGGGGGAAAAGTCCTACAGATTCGGTTCTAAAGATACTTGGAGAAGCTGAACTACAACCTCAGACAGAAATACTAGAAAACATGTCTGTTATAAGTGGTAAGCTGAAATTAGCTATTTTGCTGATTAGAAAAAAACACTAAAAATCAAATTGTATTTCTTAAGATAATGGTTATTTTAAGTGAGTTTTTTGTAATTATCTTTTTTTTTTTTTAAAGATTTATTTATTTGTGCATACAGAGCTGGGGTACAGGCCAGAGGCTCAGGGGCGGCAAGAGGCTTCACCAGAGACAGAGTGGGGAGCAGAACAGGCAGATCGACGAAGTACACTGCTGAGGGGAGCAGCGGGCGGGTCAGGAGAGGTCTGCCACGCCATGTGGTCACCTCTGGGGCAGGCGGGAATCCAACTCATGCGAAAGTGGCTTTAGCTTCTCAGTGCTGCGCTTTAACCCGCTGCACCACCAGGGAGGGCCCTGTAATTATCTTTTTCTAGTAATTTTCTGATGACATGAAAAATGATTATATCTTCTGGGCACTTGCTATCTTAAGTGATAGTCTTAAATTTTGATCTGATATAACCTGTATGAAATCTGAAAATGAAATAAATGTAGGCAGAAGGAGCCAGAAAAGTAGAATATCAGATTGATATTTACATGAAAAAGTTGTAAGAGCAGTATATTGAAATGAATGGTGTGTTTTAATGTGGATTCGGCTTCAATCAGGAATTTGACTGACTGAAAGATATCTGTAGTAGGTATTACAGACACTATCCCAGGTCAAAAGATGAGTTGTTTTGAGGCAGAGAAAAACACTTATGAAAAAACCCATCCATGTTGTGGGTCTTGTTATTAAACTATGCTTAAGGAAGTATGTCCATGTATATTTTAGATGTTCTCGGGTTTACCAGTTTTACTTAAGTGATGAAAAATTTGAATTTTTCTGTTTTGGAAGTTGTGACTAGGCATGATTGTGATGTCACCTTTGTGCTGTCTCTGCTTTCCTTTTTCTTTCTGTCTCCTTAAATATAAGAGTGAAACTTATATCAAAACTGCCAGAAAAAATACCCTAAGATGGCCCTCCCTGGTGGCGCAGCGGGTTAAAGCACAGCACTGAGAAGCTAAAGCCACTTCTGCATGAGTTTGATTCCCGCCTGCCCCGGAGGTGCCACACGGGGAGGCAGACCTCTCCTGACCTCCCCGCTGCTCCCCTCAGCAGGGTACTTCGTCGATCTGCCTGTTCTGCTCCCTACTCTGTCTCTGGTGAAGCCTCTCACCGCCCCTGACCTCTGGCCTGTACCCCTGTTCTGTATGCACAAATAAATACACCTTTAAAAAAAAAAATACCCTAAGAGGTTAGAATTTTCACATCACATTTGAAGATATTAACCAGATATTGATAGTTTATCATATGTTATGAACCTACAAACAAAAGGGGATTGCTCTTTCCTTATTAAGGGTGAAACTCCTACCCACATAGCATTTTCATTAATATTAAAGGGAGAAAAAAATTGAAGAACATGTTTAACCATTTGTTTAGTAAAAGGGCAAGCACACAAAGTGTGTATTTTATTAATCTGTCATACTCAGGAATTTGGTTGGTTATATGCTAGGTTATATGCTAGGTAGGTTATATGCTTGGTTGGTTATATGCTAGGTTACATAAGCTAGGTAGGTTATATGCTTGTCACTTAATATTTTTATATCTTGGATCTGAGTCTTTTCTCAAAATGGTCCAGACTTTGTTTAGGAAAAAAATGGCTGTAGTCTAAAACATTTTCAAAAATTGATAATTTTGGATGATGTTACAGTCTAAGTGTCCTGTTCATCTTCATTCCTATTAAAACTATTTAAAAGCATCAGGCTCTAATTCTTATGTGTAATCTTTATTGCTTAAATATATGTAATTTAGTTTACAGTAATTCCTAGGCATTGTGAAAACAGGTGTTTCCTTTTCAATAGTCAACTAAATCATCTGCATAAAATTTGAATCTACTGAATTAATTTACTTAATGATTTGTTTTATTTCTTTAAAATTTAACTTACGCAACTATTGAACTTTTTTTTTTTTTTTTTTTTT